CTTCAATATTTCCAAAAATATGATAATCTATAATCCACAGTGGCAAGACTTGCTACCAAAATGTATAGGACTTCCAACTACATGTACCTCAATCATGTTTATCATTAAAACAATATAAGTAATTATTGTGTTACTGCTTGTCTTCCATACTTTTCATATGGTATGTGCATATTGAATGTAACAGTTAGGCCTATTAATAACCCACTTAAATAATTATCAGATTATATTATGTATATGTTCAATTTTAACATTAACTTTAATTTTCATTTCTGACAAAGATTTTAGAATGTAGAATATTATGATACCCAAATACTTACACACTTGAACTTGCATCCGATTGTGATGTTAATGAACTAATTCAGGCATATTAAACCAATATTTCAATAAATTGCGTATCAACGAAACTATATTGATTTAAATGTACTTGAATTAATCCGTAGTTTTTGTACTTTGAGCTTTCTTACAATCTTTGACATCATTCACTTCTGCAATTCTGTCTTTCCTCAAATTCTTTCTGCGAAAACAAGCGTATTACAGACATTGATCGGTAACAGATCGCTTCGTCCCCAAATGAGTGGATTCGCCCCCAGATGTTGCGCTCCAATTTCAATGCGGGTTAATAACCTGTTGAAGAATGGATACTTTAGAGTGTTTTTCCTGAGAAGCACAATTCTCTTGCATGTTTGTTAAAACCAAGGGATGTCAATGTTTTTTTTTCAGGAGCTGGATGCAATATGAGCTTTCATTCTAGTTCTCAGCTATTTTAAATTCACAATATGATATTTACAAGAAAGATGTTATTTATCATCAGTGCAGTGTGAGACCAAATTTCACATGTATTTGTCTAAAAAATAAAAATGAAAAATTATGATCATTTAAGACAATCAAGATACTAATAGCGATTTACTGAGATTATTAACATGTTGATTTATGTTCTTTTTTCTTTCTGACACTGTATTTTTTTATATTTAGATAGATTGATTGCATGTTGTTTAAAGTCTCTCTTAAATTTTCTCCAGAAGTTTCACACATATGGAGACACCACCACTTGTCCGTGGAGAGCTACAAAATTTGTCCTGTACTAGGCACTTATACTCAACGGCCACTATATGGCAGTGAGAGACCTTTTTCGTAGTGGCACCTACAGGGATACAGGCCTCGGTTTCTAGGTCTCATCCGAAGAACTGGTTTCCAAGTGCAACAGTGGCCTTTGAACTCCCAATGTCAACTTCTTACTTAGCAACTCAAGAGCAGACACTCTAACCACAGTGCCACAAGGGTGACTTGCATTTACAAGAAAAACAACACATGATAATGGAAGCATTCTTTGAGATAATTTTTTTTTGGGGGGGGGAGAGAGAGAGAGAGAGAGAGAGAGAGAGAGAGGGCCTTTCTAATATTATATCTTTTTATATATCTAGAAAGATCATGCTTTTACAAGAAAAATTATATCATATTTATCATCTTTTATTTCAAAATAAAAAAAAATATGGCCATTTAAGGGAACACACTATTATCAATTTACTCCATTCAACATGATAATGGAAGCATTCTTGTAAATAATTTTTCATTTTTTGGCTTTTTGACTTGAAATCTTTTAATATTTAGAAAGATCATGCTTTAACAAGAAAAATAATACCAAATTTGTTTTCATTTATTTGAAAATAAAAAAGATATGGCCATTTAAGGGAACACACCATTATCGATTTACTCCATTCAACATGATAATGGAAGCATTCTTGTAAATAATTTTTCATTTTTGACTTTTTGACTTGAAATCTTTTAATATTTAGAAAGATCATGCTTTAACAAGAAAAATAATACCAAATTTGTTTTCATTTATTCGAAAATAAAAAAAATATGGCCATTTAAGGGAACACACCATTATCGATTTACTCCGTTCAAGATGATAATGAAAGCATTCTTGGAAAAAAAATTTTTTTTTTTGGCGTTTTGACCTGAAATCTTTTAATATTTAGAAAGATCATGCTTTAACAAGAAAAATAATACCAAATTTGTTTTCATTTATTTGAAAATAAAACCAGAAGTCTCTGTCGAGACTGAAGCTCTACTGGTTTGAACTTATAGCAAAGGAAGAGAAAGTACTTAAGCAGCTGGGATTTGAAACTTTATAAACAGCATTAAATAGAATAATGATCGTTGATAAAGTCTCTTTATGTTCTTAGTGTAGTCTACTTGTGTGCCAAGTTATATTGAAATCAGACCAAAACTGTAGGAGGAGTAGCATTTTAAAACAATTTTACAGACATTTCTATTTTCAGTAACCACGGCAACATCGTTCATCAAAATTAAAATTCGATATACAGAATTATGTATCTTAGTGTATTCTACTTGTGTGCTAAGTTATATTGAAATCAGACCAAAACTGTAGGAGGAGTAGCATTTTGAAACAATTTTACAGATATTTCTATTTTTAGTAACCACGACAACACCATTCGTCGAAATGAAATCAAAAACCGATTTTCAGAATTATGTATCTTAGTGTATTCTACTTGTTTGCCAAGTTATACTGAAATCAGACCAAAACTGTAGGAGGAGTAGCATTTTGAAAGAATTTCACAGAAATTCCTATTTTTAGTAACCACGGCAACACTGTTCATCGAAATCAAAAACCGATGCACAGAATTATGTATCTTAGTGTAGTCTACTTGTGTGCCAAGTTATACTGAAATCAGACCAAAACTGTAGGAGGAGTAGCATTTTGAAACAATTTTACAGAAATTTCTATTTTTAGTAACCACGGCAACACCGTTCATCGAATTCAAAAACCGATACACAGAATTATGTAACTTAGTGTATTCTACTTGTGTGCCAATTTATATCGAAATCAGATCAAAACTGTAAAAAGAGTATTTTGAAAAAAAATTACAGAAAATTTTATTTTTTGTAACCATGGCGACATTGTTCATCAAAAGCAAAAACCAATACACAGAATTATGTATCTTAGTAAAGTCTGCTGTGTGCCAAGTTACCAGGGGTATACTGAAATCAGATCAAAACTGTAGGAGGAGTAGCATTTTGTAAGAATTTCACAGAAATTTCTATTTTTAGTAACCACGGCAACACCGTTCATCGAAATCAAAAACCGATACACAGAATTATGTATCTTAGTGTAGTCTACTTGTGTGCCAAGTTATACTGAAATCAGACCAAAACTGTAGGAGGAGTAGCATTTTGAAAGAATTTCACAGAAATTTCTATTTTTAGTAACCACGGCAACACCGTTCATCGAAATCAAAAACCGATACACAGAATTATGTATCTTAGTGTAGTCTACTTGTGTGCCAAGTTATATTGAAATTAGACCAAAACTGTAGGAGGAGTAGTATTTTGAAAAATTGTTTACAGACAGACGGACAGACAGACGGACAGACGGACGGACGCCGGACGCATTACTATCGCATAAGCTCTTCTGGTCTCTGACCAGTAGAGCTAAAAATATGGCCATTTAAGGGAACACACCATTATCATGATTATCGATTTACACCGTTCAACATTATAATGGAAGCTAGCATTCTTGGAAATAATTATATTTTTTTTTTTTTGGCTTTTTGACTTGAAATCTTTTAATATTTTGAAAGATCTTGCTTTGACAAGAAAAATAATACCAAATTTGTCTTAATTTTTTTGAAAATAAAAAAAAATATGGCCATTTAAGGGAACACACCATTTTCGATTTACACCATTCAACATGATAATGGAAGCATTCTTGGAATTAATTTTTTTTTTTTTGGCTTTTTGACTTGAAATCTTTTAATATTTAGAAAGATCATGCTTTAACAAGAAAAATAATACCAAATTTGTTTTCATTTATTTGAAAATAAAAAAGATATGGCCATTTAAGGGAACACACCATTATCGATTTACTCCATTCAACATGATAATGGAAGCATTCTTGTAAATAATTTTTCATTTTTTGGCTTTTTGACTTGAAATCTTTTAATATTTCGAAAGATCATGCTTTAACAAGAAAAATAATACCAAATTTGTTTTCATTTATTTGAAAATAAAAAAGATATGGCCATTTAAGGGAACACACCATTATCGATTTTCTCCATTCAACATGATAATGGAAGCATTCTTGTAAATAATTTTTCATTTTTTGGCTTCTTGACTTGAAATCTTTTAATATTTAGAAAGATCATGCTTTAACAAGAAAAATAATACCACATTTGTTTTCATTTATTTGAAAATAAAAAAAATATGGCCATTTAAGGGAACACACCATTATCGATTTACTCCGTTCAACATGATAATGGAAGAATTCTTGTAAATAATTTTTCTTTTTTTTGGCTTTTTGACTTGAAATCTTTTAATATTTAGAAAGATCATGCTTTAACAAGAAAAATAATACCAAATTTGTTTTCATTTATTTGAAAATAAAAAAAATATGGCCATTTAAGGGAACACACCATTATCGATTTACACCATTCAACATGATAATGGAAGCATTCTTGGAAATAATTTTTTTTTTTTTTGGCTTTTTGACTTGAAATCTTTTAATATTTAGAAAGATCATGCTTTAACAAGAAAAACTAGTGGGTATTGTTTTTTTGAACAAAAAACACGTCTCCCCTTCATATAATGCATTTGAAACAGAATAGGCCAGTACAAGAAGAAGAACCTGACGAAGACTTTCAGTATTAAAGGAATGGAAGAGAGATGGAACGTCATGAGAAAATAAGAAATGCTAATAACATGTAAATTGCATTTTTATTGACATATAAAATGTAATAAACTTATTCATGGATTAGTTTTTTTCCTCATTACATTTTACTTTCATTTTTTCAGACAAAATGGCATTGTTTGCCTCATTATGAAATGTATTCTTTACTAATTGCACGTCAAATGATTGGAATCTTATCCAGAAGATAAATATGTTAAAGTTTAAATTATGTTATTATCTTTTATATAATCATATCGTAGATACTGTCAAAATTTGATATTACACAAACCTGATGTTATAACAGATACAAATCCTAACACAGTTTATATGCAACAGTAATCCAATGATCACCGGTAAGTACTGCTGAAGAGTCTGTTGGTGTTGTATTCACAATAGCAATACGAAGGTTTGAGTCTCTCCTTGTTCTTCTACCAGAAAGGGAACGACGCAATCCCAGGATGAAGAAATTAATGGGCATGGGTCCATCAATCCATGTAAATGGCAGAGAACTGGACTGAATATTGTGAAGACTGGCCAATATTTCAATTATCTGAGTATCCATCAGAAAAAGTGGTTCACGGCCTGGTATACCAATAATACAATTATACTGATGAATAATGGATTTGTCCAGCGTTGGTTCAATTTCAATTTCCACCAGTTGTTTGCATTGTGAAGTATCCATGCAGTGTTTGCTGCTACATATCCACAGGAAACACTGTATTGCTGGGTGCCAAGTGTAGGAACAACAGTGAAGCCAACAGATTCTAGCCACTGTATAAGATAACAAGTGTTATTATTGCCACACCACATATCTACTACTCTGGCTTTTAGACCAGGAATTGGGTCAACTGATGTCAACAAAGCTGCAGGAGGTAATGGAAACTGTGGTGTGACAGAATCTGCTTCAAATCCAACAACTGTTTTGCTCATGTATGGTACATGTTTATCAGCTACAAGCTTTCTGTTTCGAAGGTTTATATCCCTTTTCGCCATCTGCTGAACTTTAGTGTTTGTTTTCACACTTGGTTTTTAGCTCTACTGGTCAGAGACCAGAAGAGCTTATGCGATAGTAATGCGTCCGGCGTCCGTCCGTCTGTCTGTCTGTCTGTCTGTAAACAATTTTTCAAAATGCTACTCCTCCTACAGTTTTGATCTGATTTCAATATAACTTGGCATATAAGTAGACTACACGAAGATACATAATTCTGTATATCGGTTATTGATTTCGATGAACGGTGTTGGCGTTGTTACTAAAAATAGAAATTTCTGTGAAATTCTTTCAAAATGCTACTCCTTCTACAGTTTTGTTCTGATTTCAATATAACTTGGCACACAAGTAGACAACACTAAGAAACAGAATTCTGTGTATCGGTTTTAGATTTCGATGAACGGTGTTGGCGTTGTTACTAAAAATAGAAATTTCTGTGAAATTCTTTCAAAATGCTACTCCTCCTACAGTTTTGTTCTGATTTCAATATAACTTGGCACACAAGTAAACTACACTAAGATACATAATTCTGTGTATCGGTTTTTGATTTCGACGAACGGTGTTGGCGTTGTTACTAAAAATAGAAATTTCTATGAAATTCTTTCAAAATGCTACTCCTCCTACAGTTTTGGTCTGATTTCAATATAACTTGGCACACAAGTAGACTACACTAAGATACATAATTCTGTGTATCGGTTTTTGATTTCGATGAACGGTGTTGGCGTTGTTACTAAAAATAGAAATTTCTATGAAATTCTTTCAAAATGCTACTCCTCCTACAGTTTTGATCTGATTTCAATATAACTTGGCACACAAGTAGACTACACTAAGATACATAATTCTGTGTATCGGTTTTTGATTTCGACGAATGGTGTAGGCGTTGTAACTAAAAATAGAAATTTCTGTGAAATTCTTTCAAAATGCTACTCCTCCTACAGTTTTGGTCTGATTTCAATATAACTTGGCACACAAGTAGACTACACTAAGGTACATAATTCTTTATATCTGTTTTTGACTTCAATGAACATTATTACCTTGGTTAATAAAGATAGCAATTTCTGTTACTCTCAAAATGCTACTTCAAATACAGTTTTAGTCTGATTATAATATAATGTGGCATGCAAGTAGACTACACTAAGAACATAAAGAAACTTATTCAAGGATCATTATTCTCTTTTTTGCAAAGTGTAAAGTTTCAATTCCCAACTGCTTAAGTACTTTCCTCTTCCTTTGCTATAAGTACAAACCAGTAGAGCTTCAGTCTCGACAGAGACTTCTGGTTTCTTTTCTGTTTTCATATGTTGATCTTCACCAATCTGCTGAACTTTAGTGATTGATTTCACACTTGGTTTTTTCTTTTCTGTTTTCATGTGTTGATCTTCACCAATCTGCTGAACTTTAGTGTTTGCTTTCACACTTGGTTTTTTCTTTTCTGTTTTCATGTGTTGATCTTCACCAATCTGCTGAACTTTAGTGTTTGCTTTCACACTTGGTTTTTTCTTTTCTGTTTTCATGTGTTGATCTTCATCTCTTGTAATAGTTATATAAATTGGCATATGAAATGAAAAATAGGAAGACAGAACTCCACTTTCAAATGATGGAATGTTACAAACAAAAATATTGTCTAGAGTTGAGCCTGCAGTGGTTGTTGGAGAATGGATGGCCTGATTGAAACCAAGGGATAGAAATGATCTATTTATTTCAGCAGTGGTGTTGTTAAAGTCACCAAGGACAACCATCCTAGGAATGTTTTTTGCTTTGCAAATATCAAGCAGGCACTGTGGTACAGACAAAAATGAAACAAGAGAGGCATTGCAGTGTCTGTATACAGTTGCAACCATCAAGTTAATTTGGGGAAGGAAAATGCAGATCATTTCAAAGTCTGTCTGAGCCTCAGTTTTCAAAATATGGAAGGTGGTATCATTTTGTATATAAACAGCAACTCCAGCCCCTCTGTCCTGGACACTGTTCACAGAGTTTAGATTGAACCCATCAACATCATAATGCGTCTGATCTGAGTCTTCTCCAAGCCATGTTTCTGTAGCACAGAAAACATTAGGTGAGTAGTATTCTAGCATTTTCTTTACATCAGGTAGGTGTTTTCTAAGTGACTGCACATTGTGATGCAGAAGTAAGAAATTATTTTCTCTCTCATTGGGTTGTAAGAAAGAATCTGTGAGTGAAAAAAACCTCCATTTGATCCAAAGACTGTTTTACACTTGAATCAGCATATATTACAGATGGGTCATAGTCAAGTAAATGCAGTCCCTGGAGGTGTGTGACCCTACTGAGCGCAACATATGCCATTCCGCCCTTAAAAACTCTTCTGAGCGACACTGCTGCTTCTTCAAATGTTTGTCCCTGCACTTTATGAATAGTACAAGCCCAAGAGAGTGTAAACGGGAACTGGAATCTTGTGATGTATCCAGTTTTGTAAGGTACTTTCTGGGATAAGATTCTAAACGATACACATTTGTCAGTGCAATGTTGTGCTGGATTACCAGTGCTTATTCTGTAACTATTTCCGATGTGCTCATCATCAAACTGTAATATAAGGAATTCTGGCAATCCATATGGCATACTTCCATTGACAATATCTATTACTGTTCCAAGTGTTCCATTTACTAGACCATCAGAGGTATCTATATTCACTGTCAACATAACTCTAGCACCTGTTGCTAGTTTTAATTCAGGTTGCAAGCAGGTATCCAAATTATCAAAGGGTGTTTGTCTTTTAAACACTTTGCCACTTGATGAATGTAATATATCAACTGCTGTGAAGCTGAATATTGGTTTTCCAAGTTGCTCTAGTTTGGATAGGTTATGATTTCTCACTTGTTCATTTGTAGAGAAAATGTGAATTATATCAGTAGGATAAGTTGAAGTATGCAAACAACTTTTCAAGAGATTTTCAACATCTTCATTCATTGGATCATCACGATTCTTTGTTCGAATTGTGTTTAAAGCTTCTGCAAAAGGTAGATCCTCTTTTTGTCTCATTATCTTCTGTAATTTGTGCACTTTAAACAAAGTCCATAGATCTTGTGGAAGAGCTCCAGGGTCAATGCAGAGTAGACTTTTGCCAAACACGGGTGGTATCTGGTAAAAATCACCAACACAGAGAACAGATATGCCTCCAAATGGTTTTGAATTCTGCAGTGATTTTATTTGGTTCAACCTTCCTGATATGTACGATAGAACAGTTTTACTGACCATTGATATTTCATCTATAATTAGTAGCCGAATGTTTGAAAACCTGGCTCGCAGAGTATTTAAATCATTTTCACAAAGAGGTTGATACTTTGTTTTCATATTTTTCTTTAGTCCAAAAGCTGAATGAATAGTTTGACCATTGATGTTCATAGCTGCTTTGCCAGTGTAAGCAACTTTAAGAATAATCACATCGTCCGGTGTTTCACGTATCTTGTGAAATAATTTGTTTGCCATGTGGTAAATGCAGTGAATGAGCAAAGACTTTCCAGCTCCTGCTCCCCCCGTCAGAAATATATGAAAATTGTCATGAGAGTTTGAGTGTAAAACCTGCAAGCACCACTTCTTCACAAAATTGAACAGTTGCATTTGTTCTGTATTCAGTGATCTGTACATTTGCAAAAGCTTTTCATCAGTTATGATATTTGGATCTGGCTCAGTGTACACATTGTGTGAGTTTGAAGTTTTGTTTGTTTGTGGTGTAGATTTCATTTCAGGAATGTCTACTGTTGAAAGAAACTCATCCTCATCAAACAATTCCTTTTCTTCCTCGTTTTCGATTCTTTCTTGTTCTGAGCTGGGTGCCACTTGAGCCCATGCTTCTTCCAGTGGTGGCATGTCTTTCATCATGGACCAGGTCTCATCAAGCTGATCAGTTAGTTTCTGGAATTGTTTCATATTTTCATTAACAACATCACAAATTGAGGTTGATTCTAATTTCCCTGTTTCATAGAACTGTTGATATGAGTCAAAGTCTGATGGAAGGAATCTGTTTTCTCTGTGTGGATAATATAGTCTCAACAGATTGAAAAAATATCTTTCGGGATCTTTGGATTGTGAAACCTTTGGATATCTAATGACTGCATCTTTTTTTGCCCTCCTTGTAATTGTACCCATATTGTGTAGCAACTGAATTTTTTTTCCTGTCTCTGTCTTTGATTCTTCCTCTTGATCTGCATCTTCAGTACGGGGGGAGTTTGCTATCACTCTATACCTTGATACAAATGTTGCTAAACACATATTGGCAAATTCATTTGCCAAAGGTCTTGCTAGATATCTGTCTATGATACTTGTCATCCATACGTTGTCATCACCACGGGATGCATTGGATTTTATAATATGCATAGGAAGTGTTATTCTGGTATTTTCTGTATCCGTTGGAATCCATACCACATCTCGAGAACAGTGTTTCAGCTTCAAACCACAAACTCTGTAGACTGCTTCCATAACACTTATCTCCCGATGGGTCAGATACACATTTCCAAGTTTTCTGAGCTCTTGTATTGCCTCTTCATTATTTTGTCTCGCTTCTCTTTGCGCAGCTTTAATAAGCTCTCCCAATTCTTTTTCAGCCTTGGTAATGTAGGACATAATGTACATTATACAGCTATATGGATCTAGGATAAACTGTATATCCATGTTACCATTCCATCCGCGTAGAAGTGCAGGATTATATGGATTCACCCAACAATCTTTGGGTTCTCTTCTCTGAACCACTGTAGGTCTTTGTGACAATACATTTAGTGCCTCCTGTAAGATCTCTTGGGTAATGTTTCCATGCCTCAAAATGTCTGCTGTGCACAATTCTGACTCAGTGGTAAGTAAATCCCAGAAAGTTTTCAGAATGTCTTTTGCATCTTTTTTGGACATTTTCTTTAAGTTTTTTGATTGATTTGGTTCTGTCTCTTCATCTGTTGTTGGACTTGCAATAAATGTTTTCATCGAGCATGGGCGGGGAAAATTGAAACGACAATCTTTTCCTCCTTTTTTGCATGATTTGGTGTGTGCTTTACTATGTTGTTGTACTGAGGAAACTATATCGAACAATTCTTTATCTTCTTCCTCATTTGGTATTTCACAAGAAATATACTTGTCGATAAAAGCTGTCACTTCACTATCTGGGGATTTCTGCCATTCAGGGGCATTTTCAATCCAAACAAGACCATGATAATGTGGCCAACCTCGTGCTTGAAACTCAATTCTGCCAAAGATATCAGTTACCTTCCCAATAGGATTTGATGGACTCATAATGACTTGATTGATAAAATCATGAAGCCTTTTATCGAACATGCGTGTAGCAGTCACAATGTTGCTATTTATTATGTTGTAGTACTGTTGCCAATCAGGCTCATGTGGAACTTCCAAACCTTGCTGCAGACAAATTGCTTCAATGATTTCTGACCACCTTCTTTCTGCAGCTGAGAAAGTTATAAAAAATGTGGGTATGCCAAGCTGCTTAAGCATGGCAAAAAGATCTCGCATGGTTTTTTCCCAGTATGCTGGGGAACCTCGAATGGTTTGCAAAAAGCGATAACATTCATCTTTTTTAAGCATCTTTTTCATTTTGGAAGAATCCAAGAAGCTAGCTGAAGTCAAGTGGCTGAAATCAACTGTCTTTCGCATAGCAATGGACACAGAAGAAAATACTTCCTCCAGTTCTGCTGTATACTGTGCAAAAAATATATACTCTGGATCACTAGCAAACCTAGGATCACTCGAAAACAATCTACTGTTGAAATATCGTTTCATTGATATTTTTGTATTGCGTTTGTCTGTGTAGGTTTTTTCTCCATTAGGAAAATGAATTGGAAATGCCTGTCCTTCAGTACTGATGACTTTTATTGGTGTGTTTCCTTCTGCTGGTGCAATACAAAAAATGGAGTTTGGATTTTCATCAGCAAAATACTGTGCTGGGTCTGATGGTTGAAGAGATGTGTCAAGTGGTGGTACAGAATCTTGAGATTCTTCTGTTGATTCATCTTCTTCTTCTTTGTCAGGATCTGTTGAAATCAGAAATGGATAATTTACCTGTTTCTAATGCAGACACAATGTACTATCTACCAATAGTTTTCTTTTCCATGCATTTCAAAATTACAGCTCAAAAGATCTTACCATCACAATCTGTATTGGTATTGCTTTCCATGTTTCCATTATTTCTCGATTTCTCCTTCACTGGTTCAGATTCCCCTTCCTGAACAGAATCTGTTTTGTAATTCAATATGACTTTAGTACAGTTGTTTCAATTTAATAGTCTTTCAGATAATATTCATACATTCATATTCATATGTTCAAAATGTAATGTATATAATATCTGTAACAATATTTTTATAAAGATAGTTATTAAAATAATATTTCATATATTTTTCTAAACTATAAGTTTTTCTTATTGAAGTGTGCAATGTATTTACTGTATTTTTTTAAATATAAATTTTTCTTTTATAACCATGTACAAAAGTTTGCTAGAATTTAAACAAATATATTATTGAACGCATTAATTTCATACACTATTTTTTTTTACATAAAATATTATAGAAATTAAACATTACTTTGAGATTTTTTTTAAAAAGCATTTTAACTTACCACTGCTATCTAGAGCAGAGTTGTTTTCACTATCATCTAGATATTTGTCACTTTCAAAAATATCTTCGTTGATTTCGATTTCTGAAAATAAAAACATTTATTAATATAATTTTACATTTTATAGGAAACAAGAAATGATTTCATACTTCATAAACTGATAAAAATGACTAACCTGCAAAATGTGGATTTCTTTTCTTTAGAAAATCAAGTGCTTTAAGGATTCTATTTGGACATACTTCCTGGTACAGATGATGCCCTTTAAAAGACAACTTGCGCTTTAGTTTCATCTTGATGAATGATTCGTCTGAAATGTTTCTAGGCAAAGTTGTCGTAACTTTCCTAATATCTGAGCACACTGAGATCACTGGTCCATGAATGCCTTTTTGTGTATGTTTTGGCAAATTAACTATTTTCATAAAAGGAATTACTGGGGATACCAGGTGTCTTTCCAGTTTATTAAGTTCACTTAATTCGGCTCCGACAGTGGTTAGATTCATATTGTTGGCTAATGCCTGTGCTGGAATTTTTCCATTTTTGATGGTCTTGTCACATAAAATGCAAATATGTTCTTTATTGGTTGATGAAAGGCTGTTCAATAAAGTAGATACCTGTGCTTTTTTGTACTTGTTTTCGACAAATTTTTGAACCTGGGAACGGAACATAATACGTCCACATACAATGCAGGGATAAATTGGATATTCTTTGCATGATGTTCTAAATTTTTGAAGTGCTGCATTACCATCCGACAATTTAGCTTTCTTTCTGTGATAGTTTTGCAAATTATTTTCTGCCTTCCTTTTTCTTGTTTCTGGTATCTTATATTTTTGTTTTACATGTTCTTTTTGCTTTTGTGCTTTTTCTGGAATCTTGTATTTTTTCCTGACATGTTGTTTCTTTCTATCTGCAATCTCTGGTATACTGTATTTTTCCTTCATATTATTTTTCTTTTTTTCTGCAATTTCTGGAATACTGTATTGTTCCTTCATATTCTGTTTCACTTTTTCTGCAATCTCTGGAATCTTATATTTTCCCCTGATATTCCTTTTCTTTTTTGCAGCAATCTCTGGAATACTGTATTGTTTTTTCATACTTTTTTTCTTTTTTTCTGCTATCTCTGGAATACTGTATTGTTCCTTCATATTCTGTTTCACTTTTTCTGCAATCTCTGGAATCTTATATTTTTCCCTGATATTCCTTTTCTTTTTTGCAGCAATCTCTGGAATACTGTATTGTTTTTTCATACTTTTTTTCTTTTTTTCTGCTATCTCTGGAATACTGTATTGTTCCTTCATATTCTGTTTCACTTTTTCTGCAATCTCTGGAATCTTATATTTTTCCCTGATATTCCTTTTCTTTTTTTCTGCAATTTCTGGAATACTGTATTGTTTTTTCATACTCTGTTTCTTTTTTTCTGCAATTTCTGGAATACTGTATTGTTTTCTCATACTCTCTTTCATTTTTTCTTTAATCTCTGGAATTCTGTATTTTTCCCTGATATTCTGTTTCTTTTTCTCTGCATTTTCTGGAGTACAATAATTTTCTTCCATGTACTGTTTTTTTCTTTTGGCATTTTCTTCATCTTGATACCGGTTTCTCTCATATTGTTTTTTTTCTCTCTTTATTTCGTTGGTACCATATTTTCATTTGTTGCTTTCTTAAAAGTCTCTTTTGTTCGAATTCCTGTTGTTGTGAAAGATAGTTACACAACCAATCTGGCTCTTGAACCTAAAGATAAAATTTTTATATGAATTATGAATAATGTATTATTATTTCATTTTTTTTCATGTACATCGAAAAATCAAGAGTTTGATAAGTTTTACCTTTGAACTTGAGTTTTTGTCTGGTTCTGTTGTAGTTGATTGCGAATCAGAATTTTGTGTGCATAGACCTGGTAAGAGAAAAAAAATATGCAAAGAACATATTTCATTTTAAAAATAATTAACTGATGCTTAATATCAAAATCAAATTTGTTTGTACTCAAGAATTTAAAAAAATAGAAGACATTGTTTTTCATTAAATCTATGTAGTTGCTAATGTTTACCTGCATTTTTGGTTACTTTTTCTGTGCGAGCTTTCCTTTTCCTATCCTTGTCTTTCTTTCGTTTATTTCTCCCACTCATGATACATCAGCAAACCTTAGAGTAGCCTGAAAAGATATTTATTTTTGAAAACTAATGTATTACATGAACATATAGTAAACAGGAGAAAAAAAATGACCACATATTGATTGTATTTCCATAATGAAATGAAATTTTAAGAAATTCAAACAAATATGCTCAATGACAGTAGAAGATCTTGTAGATGAAAATATCCCATGCATGTACTTTACAGCAGTTAATATATTTGTATTAGAAGCTTGATTTTTATGAGTTTAAGGAGTTTGTTATCTATATTAGCTTTTAGGTAAATGCAATATACAAATTATTCATTACACATGTAAAAGACTTTTTTCATGGAAATGCAAGATATTAATGACTGTTTAAATAGCACGTGATGAGAATACGTATGAAAAGTAAAGTAAAGATCCAACATTTCAAAAATATCTTCTTCATGTATTACTTTACATAGCAGTTAAAGTAAATTTCTGTCATGAATATTGAACAATCAAAAAACAATATTTTCCCAAATACAATACTGAGTAAAACAAAGGTATTTCCTAAAGAAAGAAAAAAATTAAGTCATTGTTCAGCAAATAAAATCATCTCTGCATCCTCTGCACATGAAATAAAGGAACTTTTCTATTAAAATAATCAGGTTAAAGTTAATTTCGGGTGTTGACGTCTTTGTTTTCATACATCACTGGATGGTCCAGGGTCCGACTTTGGAGAAGACACCGTTGTGATCCCACTGCAGTCTGTGGCGATCCCACTGCAGTCTTGAGAAGAAAGAAGGAAATCATCCTCTTCAAGGTTTTTTATTTTTTTCTGTAAATTTTCTATTTCTTTTTTCATTTGCAAATTTTCTTTTGATAGCTTAGAATTTTCTTTTTCATTGATCTTTATGAGTGTTTTCACTTTTCCATCCATGGCTTTTAATTTTCTTCTTATCTTTTCTACAGCTTTGATAGCTTGTGCGTTATTCTTATTTGAAATGTCATAGCATACTGCTTTCAACTCAGTGTCTACTTCTTCCGCAAACTCGGTCACAAAAGTATCCAATCTCGTAATTTTCGAAGGTGAAGCCATACTGATCTAAATGAAATGGTAATTAAAAATCTTGTAAAAAACAAAAACAAATACTTGTCTCTCCTGAGCTGAATGATTTGTACTGGAACTGCCCATGGCAATGGCACACCATGATTGATTAAATTCCTGTAAAAAAAACAAACAAACAAATAATGTTTTCTTCCTGAGCTGAATGATTTGTACTGGAACTGCCCATGGCAATGGGACACCATGATTGATTAAATTCCTGTAAAAAAAACAAACAAACAAATAATGGTTTTCTTCCTGAGCTGAACGATTTGTACTAGAACTGCCCATGGCAATGGAACACCATTGATTAAATTCCTGTAAAAAAAATTCAAAACAAATAATGGTTTCTTCTAATGGCAATGGAACACCACTGATTAATTCCTGTAAGAAAAACAATTAATGGTTTCTTTCTAAGTTGAATGATTTGTGAAACTATCCACGGCACTAGCACACTATTGTTTAAATTCTCATTAAATAAACCCCAAAATGTATGGTTTCTCTCTAAGCTGAATGATCTGTGAAACTACCCATGGCAATGGGACACCATTGATTTGTTTTCTACAAATGAGAAAATCAGGAAAATCAAGATTTGTGAACTCTGAAAGTAAAATCTAGTTAGTGTAATTAGTGTGCCTATAGTAAAGCTTGGTTAGTAATCATTCTGTTTTAATATGTATAAATATACAGATATAAAATGACAGGTTTTAAACTTATACAATTACAGAAAATGTATGGGAAAAAGAAAGTACTATGGTTTCTTAAATATTTTTTGTTCATCTATGGAAACAATCGATCATTATGATAAAGTATTCTACTTATCGAATATCCTTAACCATGAATTTATGTGTCTTCCAAACAGTGTGTTTAAAAAATTCAGTGTCAAAAACTTATGGCAATAAACATTAATGAAACCATAGTAAAAAGCTATATTCTGCTAATATTAGTAAATGACATATGCATTATAAGACATCACATAAAAAGCATGATCTTTTAGCCAGGCTCATTGCTATATAAAGTAGTTAAGCGATATTGAAGCTATATGAGTTTATTGTTTAAAATGACAGATGAGTTTTATGATGAGGTATATTTATGCAAAAGATGTAAAGCAGGACAGACAAAAATACTGACAGTGACAGAGAAGCTCACTACAACACTTCAGAAATTCAAACGGCTACAATAGCAAGGGGTCTGTTACTAGTGCCACCACGAAGAGGATCCTCACTATACATACGTAGCCAGACATGTATAGCAAAGACAGATCATGCAAAGTGAAATCTAATGGAGTACATTACAAAAGTTGAAATAAGATGTGGTTTTGGTAATTTATTAACCAATAGTCCATGTCAGTAAGTTATTTCCAATTCGTAAATTCCTTGTTTAAAAGTATCCATTAGATAACACTACTCTAAGCAAAGTTTGAATCATAGTTTATGATGCAAACTTTACTTGGCACCAAATAGATGTATTAGATATATGATAGTAAAAAATATGAGATAAATTTGATACTCACCTGAGTAATTCATAATGTTTTCTTCAGAGGATTTTCTTTCAATTCATCTTGTTTCTTTTTTTTTCGAAAGTTAACGCCATCTCTATTCCAAGATTCATGCCACCTCTGCGTGTTTTAAGTTTTAAGTATTTATATCAGGTAGGAATTTTATATTTATGATCAAATCATATTTTTCTCCATTTGACCTTGAGGGATAAGGGGTCATGGTCAAAATTCTGCACCCTTATTCTTTGTGTCATTTGTGATTTCCAAGCCTGAAGTCTCAAAGTCAATTGGTTCTCCAGTGATGGTCACATCATTTTTTTTTCTCTTATTAGACTTTGAAGAAAGATAGGGGTCATGGTCAAAGTTCTAATCCAGTGCATCTTGCATTTAATTTCTTCTTTCTGTGTTACATGTTTGAAGTCCTAGTAATAAAAGGTACTCAAGCAATTGCCAAAACTCTATTTTTATGTAAAAGTTTGACCTTGACCTTATAAACAGATCAAGGTCAAAAATTTTAAGCACTGTGCACTTTCTCTCAAGTTCATCTATCTAAGTTCCAAGTATGAAGTCTTCAGGTCCGTGGGTATTCAAATTGATGGTCAAATCATGTTTTTCTCTTATTTGACCTTGAAGAAAGAAAGGGGTGATGGTCAATGTTCTAATCCAGTGCATCTTGTATTTAAATTTTAAGCACTGTGCACTTTGCCCCAAGGTCATCTATCTAAGTTCCAAGTATGAAGTATTCAGGTCCATGGGTATTCAAATTAATGGTCAAATCATGTTTTTCTCTTATTTGACCTTGAAGAAAGAAAGGGGTGAAGGTCAAAGTTCTAATCCAGTGCATCTTGTATTTAATGTCTTCTTTCTATGTGACAAGTTTGAAGCCTTAGTATTAAAGGGTACTCAAGCTATGGCCTAGACTCTATTTTTATGTAAAAGTTTGACCTTGACCTTATAAATAAAGGGGTGAAGGTCAAAGTTCTTATCCAGTGCATCTTGTATTTAAAGTCTTCTCTCTATGTTACAAGTTTGAAGCCTTAGTATTAAAGGGTACTGAAGCTATGGCCTAAATGTATTTTTATGTAAAAGTTTGACCTTGACCTTATAAAAGGATCAAGGTCAAAAAATTTTAGTGGCGTGCACTCCGTCTTGAGGTCATCTATTTATGTTCCAAGTATGAAGTCTTCAGGCCAAAGGGTATTCGAGTTACGGCCTGGACAAAATTTGGATGAAGAAGAATAAGAAGAACTAGAGCAAAGCTCGTTGCAAAGCAACGAGTAGGTCTTCCGTCCTGTCTGACCGGAAGTAGTTTTCAATTTTAGCAAAAATGAGATATAACGCCCAAAAATGGGTTGAATCATCTAAAGCTTAGTTAATTAATGCAAAAATAAGCAATTTTTTGCTACTTCCGGTTTGACCGGAAGTGACGACGACGGACGGAAAATTTATTTTTTAAGCTCCCAGTGACATATGTTAACTAAAAACTTGTCAAGAACGTCAAAAATACGCGTTTTTCGACTACTTCCGGTTTTGCCGGAAGTGACGTCGCCGGACGCATTTTGACGATCCCAGTAGATTAAGCTTGACATTTTGAACAACTTTGCGTCTTTGACGTATTACAAATTCTCAATACTTTTTGAGATATAGAGAAAAAAAGTTCGGCCCCTCTAAGCCCTTAATTTTAAGGGCCAGCCCCTTTTTCGAGATACCATTTGAAAGATCTTTAAATTCCACACTTCTTTTGTTCTATATGTTTTAACAAAATATTTCTAGGTAAAAAAGTATGGAAGAAAAGGTGTTAGAAATTTTTAAATTCACGACAGGACTATTTTCGGACCATAGCGAGCGCCGACGTGCGGCGTTTCCGGAAAAAGCAAAATGCGAAAGGCACATCTACAGACCTAGATCTATCATACCTGAAAGTTTCATACTTCTATCTTAACCCATTTTCCAGAAAAACTCTGGACAACCTGACCCTTTAAAATTAATAAAATCGGCAATATCTCAGACCGGAAGTGACGTCATCAAAAAAGAAAAAAAACGCATAAGGTTCAAGTGATGATACATAAGTCCTGAAAGTTTCATGAAAATTCATCAAGCCGTTTTCGAGAAATCGCGTGCACAAAATCGGTAAGAAAAAAAACAATAATAAAAGTGAAAAAGAAACCTAAGAATAACAGAAAGGTCTTCCGCTGAAGACGGAAGACCTTAATAAGAAGAACTAGAGCAAAGCTCGTTGCTTTGCAACGAGTGGGTCTTCCTTCCTAGCGATAAGCAAAAGATTCAATGTTTCTGTCTAGATTGTCAACTTTGCTAACATTCTCTTTTTCGATTTGTCTCAAAAACCCTTACTTGAATTCTTTAATTTGGTGTGAGCATGAGGTCTAAAGGGTACTCTCTCTAACAGCATTCTTGAAATCGTATCCACAACAGTTTAACTTCCAATTTTATGACTTTTGATATCGGATATATCATGTTTGTTGCAATTATGTTTGTGAAACGTGTCATACTACAGAAACATAAGTGTTTTGCTACATTACCATCTTAAAAATGGCTTTAAAATCATTTAATATACAATATAACTAGGTAAATAAAATAAACAAATTATATAATAATTCAAAAAATCCAAATGTATTTACAATAATGATGAACAATCTTCATTAGTTGCAATCAGTAAGTAGAACAATACTTTTATAATAAACGCACAGAAATGTGTTGTGTATGTTTCGAATTTGAAGCTTTCCACTAGCAACTGGTGGTACCTCAATAGGAGTGTAAAATTCTCTGAAAGGTATATTATGAACATTTTACATATGTCTGTGTATTCTTTTTTAGCGGCTTTGGCGGAATGCAGCAATCACTAAATCAAGTACAAAGCTAAAAGTCTTGTACATAAACATAAATAAGAATATCTAGGCTAACTTATTCAAAAGTCAATTTCCACCAAATATTGTACAAGCTAAATATAATACATTTACAGCATTAAAGAAACAAATCTCTTTGAAGGTATTGCCCTGCATAAGAACAATTTGAATCCCCTACACTAAGGATGCTCTGTGCCAATTTTCACTTTGGTTCTGGAAAATGATATTGTGAAATTTTAGACAATGATGATAATGGATAAAATTATGTTTTTAAAAAATTTACTGGTTCCTTTAGCTCAGATGGGCTAATAAGTATGCAACAGGCACAGTTTTGGAGTTGACATTGAAATGCGACTGGACATATCTTCAATCTTGTTTTAGAAAACTACATGTACATGCCCTATGTACTGAATTCCTTGGAATCATACACATGTTTATGCCTTTAATTAGTTGTATGTGCCAAAACAACAATTTTTTTTTTACATTATTCTGTAAAAAATACACATACATGTATTACAAGATCTTATATTCCTGCTGAAGACAGAGGATCTATCTTAATCATTAGAATAAGTAAGTCTAAACTTTGAAAGGGAAGACCTTAATAAAGAGGTCAACATGCTACACAAACAAAATATTATTATATTTAGAAATAACATTTATTCCAATGTAATTACTGGTACATGTATTTCTGTTACAAGAACTATTTCACTTGAAAAAAACTGAGAGCAATTGATATGTTCATATTTGTGGATTTATGTTGTCAAATCAAAATTTAAAAATGATACACAGTGTGTTTAAAAATTGTCTTCACAAACCAAAACTTGACTTATTTTCACTATGCTGTTTATTCCATGTCACATCCAAACAGATGATCTTCTGGCAAATCATGGTCATGCTTGGTATCAAAATTCAGTATTCAGATGAGTTACACCTATCCAAAAGAAATTGAAATTTTTTAATTTATAATTCTTTTACTAATAAAAAGTGCAATTCATGAGATTATAAATTAGATTATCAAATTGAGAGATAAGATATTGTCACATTTTCTGTGTATAATTTGTAAATTTTAATGTACTCTTTTATCAATTAAAAGAAGTTTACACCAATTAAGGCAGTCATTTATGCTATCCCCTAATAAGACAACATACAAGTGCAAAGTAATCATGCACTAGTGGGTTTAGGATAATGTGCTAGAGTATTTATGACAACATACTAGCACGAGGTGACAATGTGCTAGCATGTACGTCAGTGGTAATATGCCAGCACACTGAATCCAACATGCAGTGAAGCTAACACTCAACAGATTGTTTAGAGTTGTGTTTGCATGATATTTTGTTTTGTGTAAACACAGCAGCATGTTGTTTAAAGCTGCATTGGAGTGGCAGTCTGTTGAAATTAACATGCTAACACACTGCAACTTCACATCATTGGAACACCATAATTTTAAAACTGGCAAACTAATATCTTATGATTACTAACTAGGTAATTGCAACTGTAAATGCTGATTTCATGGTAACAATAATACCGGTAATTCACTGTATATCTGAGAACTGATCAATTATAATAAGGCGTGTCCAGATAGGGCCACTTGCTAAAGCTCAATAGCACTTTCATAAAAGCGTGCCATCTTACCGACACAAAAGACGCCATTAGGCTATCACACAGCTCGCCATCACAACACTGAAAAACACTTTCGCACTAACACAAGTTCGCACCACACGCTGTCACACTAACACACAACACACTGTCACGCTAATACAATTTCACACAACAAAATATCAGGCTAACACGAGTTCACACAACACACTATCATGCTAACACAAATTCACAAACACGCTGTCTCACTAACACAAGTTCACACAACACGCTGTCTTGCTAACACAAGTTTTACACAACACGTAGTCTCGCTAATACGAGTTCATACAACACACTGTCTAGCTAACACAAGTACACGCAACACACTGTCACGCTTAGATGAATTCACACAACACACTGTCACGCTAACATGAGTTTACACAACAGGCAGTCTCACTAACACGAGTTTACACAATACACTGTCACGCTAACACGAGTTTACACAATACACTGTCACGCTAACACAAAGTCACAAAACAGGCTGTCTCACTATTCACTAACACAAGTTCGCACCAAATGCTGTTGCGATAACACACTGTCATCCTAATACCATTTCACACAACACACTGTCATTCTAATACCATTTCACACAACACACTGTCAGGCTAACACGAGTTCACACAACACACTGTCACACTAACACGAATTCACAAAACAGGCTGTCTCACTATTCACTAACAGAAGTTCGCACCAAACACTGTTGCGATAACACACTGTCATCCTAATACCATTTCACACAACACACTGTCATCCTAATACCATTTCACACAACACACTGTCAGGCTAACACGAGTTCACACAACACACTGTCACGCTAACACAAATTCAAAAAACATGCAATATCGCTAACACGAGTTCACATAACACGCAGTCTGGCTAACACAAGTTCACACAATATGCAATCTCGCTAACACGAGTTCACACAACACACTATCATGCTAACACAAATTCACAAACACGCTGTCTCACTAACACAAGTTCACACAACACGCTGTCTTGCTAACACAAGTTTTACACAACACGCAGTCTCGCTAATACGAGTTCATACAACACACTGTCTAGCTAACACAAGTACACGCAACACACTGTCACGCTTAGATGAATTCACACAACACACTGTCACGCTAACATGAGTTTACACAACACGCAGTCTCACTAACACGAGTTTACACAATACACTGTCACGCTAACACGAGTTTACACAATACACTGTCACGCTAACACAAAGTCACAAAACAGGCTGTCTCACTATTCACTAACACAAGTTCGCACCAAATGCTGTTGCGATAACACACTGTCATCCTAATACCATTTCACACAACACACTGTCATTCTAATACCATTTCACACAACACACTGTCAGGCTAACACGAGTTAACACAACACACTGTCACACTAACATGAATTCACAAAACAGGCTGTCTCACTATTCACTAACACAAGTTCGCACCAAACACTGTTGCGATAACACACTGTCATCCTAATACCATTTCACACAACACACTGTCATCCTAATACCATTTCACACAACACACTGTCAGGCTAACACGAGTTCACACAACACACTGTCACGCTAACACAAATTCAAAAAACATGCAATATCGCTAACAGGAGTTCACATAACACGCAGTCTGGCTAACACGAGTTCACACAATATGCAATCTCGCTAACACGAGTTCACACAACACACTATCATGCTAACACAAATTCACAAACACGCTGTCTCACTAACACAAGTTCACACAACACGCTGTCTTGCTAACACAAGTTTTACACAACACGCAGTCTCGCTAATACGAGTTCATACAACACACTGTCTAGCTAACACAAGTACACGCAACACACTGTCACGCTTAGATGAATTCACACAACACACTGTCACGCTAACATGAGTTTACACAACACGCAGTCTCACTAACACGAGTTTACACAATACACTGTCACGCTAACACGAGTTTACACAATACACTGTCACGCTAACACAAAGTCACAAAACAGGCTGTCTCACTATTCACTAACACAAGTTCGCACCAAATGCTGTTGCGATAACACACTGTCATCCTAATACCATTTCACACAACACACTGTCATTCTAATACCATTTCACACAACACACTGTCAGGCTAACACGAGTTCACACAACACACTGTCACGCTAACACGAATTCTCAAAACAGGCTGTCTCACTATTCACTAACACAAGTTCGCACCAAACGCTGTTGCGATAACACACTGTCATCCTAATACCATTTCACACAACACACTGTCATCCTAATGCCATTTCACACAACACACTGTCAGGCTAACACGAGTTCACACAACACACTGTCACGCTAACACAAATTCAAAAAACATGCAATATCGCTAACACGAGTTCACATAACACGCAGTCTGGCTAACACGAGTTCACACAATATGCAATCTTGCTAACACGAGTTCACACAACACACTATCTCTCTAACACCAGTTCACACTACAAATTTTCAGGATAACAAGTTCACACAACACACTGTCACGCTAACACGAATTCACACAACATGATGTCTCGTTAATAAGAATATGCACAACACGCTGTCTCGCTAACATGAGTTTACACAACACGCAGTCTCGCTACCACGAGTTTACACAACACGCAGTCTCACTAACACCAGTTTACACAACACGAAGTCTCGCTAATACGAGTTCAATCAACACTCTGTCTAGCTAACACGAGTTTACACAACACACTGTCACATTTACACTTTATACACGATTTTACACAACACGCTGTCCCGCTAACACGAGTTTACGCGATACATTGTCAAGCTAACAAGAATTCACACAACCCACTGTCAAGCTAACACAATTAAGTTCACAAAACACACTGCCTTGCTAACACAAATTCATACAACACACTGTCTCGCTAACACAAGTTCACACAACACACTCACATTGCTGAGTTTAAAGTAAAGGTCTACCCTAATTTGAAGAGGTTTAAAACTAACATATCTCTATATTAGTAAAAAGCTTCAAATTTAAGACAAAAACATTTATGCAGTAATGTTCCTTAACATGCATCTGGCATATAAAATGAATGAGACCTTAAAAACCTCACAGTACATGTTTACTTAGCTAATTAAAGGTCTAAATTGATGCTATTCAACAATATATATCAACGTTAACATCTCTAAGTATGTGAATGAGTGAAATTCTCAAATAAATATTATAAATCAAAGTATCAATAAGAAGCTGAACCTTACGTCGCAGGTTCCAATTTCATTTGCTAAATGCTTTAGACAGGTTACTCCTATGAGACTGCATACACCAAGATTCTGTGTCACGGTAGGTGTTAGCACAAAATGGATCTCATACTTCTTAAAGGCAATAAGTGCTGAGTACAAGTCTATATTTGCAGCTAATACCATCCCAAGTGGTGGCACCATGAAATGACTGAAAAATGTATGATTAAGGCAAATAAACAAACATTAAACCATTACAGCAGTCTTATCAAACAAAAAAAGCAAACTTTCTATTATCACAATTTTTTAAAACAAATTTCTTTTGCAATTTTTGTCCTTTTTTGTCAGTAAAGTATGATATTAAGTAATTAAGACTTTTTGAGAACATCTATTTATAGCGAGTCCAGACAGCAGCACAAATCCCTGCCCATAATGCGAGCTCTTATGATAACACCTTGGCAAAAGAAGATTGTGACTTGCACATTGCTCCACACAATTTTTCCGCAGTATACTTTGGACACACAGTGCTTAGCTTCTTTAACATGTTTAAGCTACATTCAAAATTCATTTCTATTTAATTTGAATTAGCTATCCTTACTCATGTTCACATGGAGCTAATGGGAAGTAATTTAACGAGCAGTGAATTCATTCGAATTAAACATTTGAATAAACTCTCAGTGTGAACATTGAGCATGGATGCACCAAATGTCAAATGCGGCTTGACAAGCACAATCTAAATTAAAACTAAATAAGTATCTGCCCTCACCCTTACAGTCACACTGTCAATATATAATTAAATGGAACACTTCTAGTATACCGGTCCCCATAAATATGGCGCTAAAATAGGTGCCGCCGAAGGCGGTATACAATATATAGACGATCGCGTGAGCGATCGACAAAATCGAAAAAGAAACCACAAATTGCAAATTTGACCCAAAATTCGTGTTCCTTGTGAAAAATTGGGTTTAAAAAACTGGTTTTTAAACACAGTTTTTTAAATGAGAATTAAAAGATTTTGTAAAATAACGTACATGTTTAGGAAGTATATCTCCATCTTGCGTTGTTTAGGAATGTAGTCACATGATCAATTTTTGACGTAATCTCATAAATATTCATGAGATGCGTCACTTGTGTTTTGACGTAATGAAGAAATGCCTGATAGGACTCAAAGTGCAATGCTATTAAAATTGCGTGATTTTTGTGAGAAATACAGGGATTTAACAAATGTTAGCTAATTACTAGTCATCGATGGATTGAATTGTGCATCATTATCGATTTGAAAAGATAAAATTTATGAATAAGGGGCCTATTTGGACATGATTAGGAGGTCAGGATACAGAGCTGCAGTTAACGGTAAGTCGCTTTTACAATAACTTGCCTAAACTCAGCGCTAAAATCGTCATGTTTCAAAAATTGAGTTGATTTACCCGAACTTTCATTTCTTAATCTTTCCTTTGTAAAGCAAAAATTTCATGAACTAAGCCAAAGTGTAAGATATCGGCACAATTCGACAGACTGATACATGCAAGTTTCTTATCACAAAAGGCACATGCGCACACATAGTGGCTTTTGTAAGCAAAAATTACATAAATAAGCCCTAAGTCAGAATTAAAGAATACAGAGTGGATTTATTAAAAAAGACAATTAAAAAAAATAAACAACCTAACCCTAATCACTCGATCGGATGCGTTTTGTTGAAGCGAGTGGGAAATTGCGGTTTGTTTACATTCTGCATAGCAACGGCAAGGGAAATAACTGCTCATGCGCAATCGCGTGATTCTGGGGACCGGCATACTAGAAACTTCCCAATTAGTTGAATATATTCTGTAACAGTAGGTGCAGTTTGAATTATAGAGTATGATCACTATGATAGATAGTAGGACTGTTGAAATTACATCCTCAAATTTAAAAAAAAAATAAAATATAAAGCTGTGGGGATTTACAAGGCAAACAGACAGCTTCTGAACTGTAAAACAGATAATATATAAGTGTGTCTGTGTATTTCTAATAACATCAATGTACATCACTGTCATGTAATCAGTAGTGTAAATTTTAAGTAATAAAAATATTCTAACCTTCATTCCAATGGTCCAAGCCAATCATACATTAAAATGTCGCCGTCAGCTCTTTCATCACTCGATACAATTATCCACTGGGGAATCCGGAGCAGAGTCAAGAGTGTTCATCCTTGTTAATGTGACAGTCAGAATTTCCTCGTAAACAATTCACACAAGATTCTTAGAATATATGAATCGGGATAATTCTGCTTAATAGAATAATGTTCCAGAGAAGTGACAAAGTACTTCGTAGCTCCAGATTAAATGAGTGTGCATGTCTACAAACGGATTCTTTGTGAGAAAATGTTCAACTTCACAAATCATTCTATTTTCAGTTTGTAAACCATGACAAACATGTGTCCGACGTCGACTCGAAGGGGCACACTAAAAACGGGATATACTAGAGACCTGATATTTACCTGACGTTTTAATTTTAATTAAATGGTAATATTGAGTATTTTAAATTACTTATGTACAGACTTTATGACTTCGAGGCATATGCTATACAAAAATTCAACTGTTTGGAACATTTACAGACAAATTTGAATCAGGTCAAATCAGTGTTTAGTACATAGCGTCTTTAGTACCTTCCTATTTCCCACAATGCCGCGCGTTGTTTACAAACAAGCGCGAAAAAATCCTCTAAACTAGGTACTAATTATTGTTGTGTACATTATCACATTTTAAAATCATTTGAATAAAAAGAAAACAAAGAAACACCGAATCAAAACTATATCTTTTAGATGCATCAACTAAAAATGTGCACATGTATGCAGTAAAGGCTTGGCTGGATATAGTAGACAACTTGTTCCTGAAAGGTTTCTCACATACATGTACTTGTTTTATATAAAAAACAATTAAATATAGCTGGAAGTTTATTTCTTTTTATATCAAATGACAAGATTTTATAAGTTCGAAATTATTTCAGTCAAACTTTTTCATAATATACCAATATTTTAAGCTATCAGAAAAAACGTGTATGAGCTATTAACCCCTAATTATAGGGGCCAGCCCCTTTTCATTAATCTAATATGAAAGCTCTCGTAATTACACACAACTTTTGTTCTATATTTCTTACCAAATTATTCTCGGTTCAAAAGTTATTACACAAAAAGTAGCAAAAATTCAAGAAAAAAAATTACTAAAATTTGCCGTTTTATAGCTTCCAAACTTTAGGAAATCAGCTAATAATTTTATCGTTCTGCACATCTACAATGTATTGGCTACAAGTTCTCCAACTTTCGTGTAAATATCTTACGTCGTTCTTGAGATTTTTAGTGGAAACGAGACATCAAAATTATCAATTAAAGGGCAATAACTCACGATTAAAGGCATGCATCAAAAAATTGAAAACAGGTGTAAATAGGTTTAATTACAAGGTATCTAACCTGAAAGTTTCATAAAAATCAGTCCAAAGGTCTTTGAGAAATCGCCTGTCAAAAATCGAGCGGGAAAAAAAAAAAATAATAATAAGAAACAGTAGAATAACAGTAGGGTCTTCCGAAGGAAGCGGAAGACCCTAATAAGAAGAATAAGAAAATCGACAAAAACAATATGTCTCCCCTTCGGAAGGGGAGACATAATAATACCAAATTTGTTTTCATTTATTTGAAAATAAAAAAAAATATGGCCATTTAAGGGAACACACCATTATCGATTTACACCATTCAACATGATAATGGAAGCATTCTTGGAAATAATTTTTTTTTTTTTTGGCTTTTTGACCTGAAATCTTTTAATATTTAGAAAGATCATGCTTTAACAAGAAAAATAATACCAAATTTGTTTTCATTTATTTGAAAATAAAAAAGATATGGCCATTTAAGGGAACACACCATTATCGATTTACTCCATTCAACATGATAATGGAAGCATTCTTGTAAATAATTTTTCATTTTTTGGCTTTTTGACTTGAAATCTTTTAATATTTAGAAAGATCATGCTTTAACAAGAAAAATAATACCAAATTTGTTTTCATTTATTTGAAAATAAAAAAGATATGGCCATTTAAGGGAACACACCATTATCGATTTACTCCATTCAACATGATAATGGAAGCATTCTTGTAAATAATTTTTCATTTTTTGGCTTTTTGACTTGAAATCTTTTAATATTTAGAAAGATCATGCTTTAACAAGAAAAATAATACCACATTTGTCTTCATTTGTTTAAAAATAAATAAGATATGGCCATTTAAGGGAACACACCATTATCGATTTACACCGTTCAACATGATGTTGGAAGCATTCTTTGAAACAATTTTTTTTTTTTTTTGGCTTTTTTTAATTTAAATCTTTTAATATTTAGAAAGATCATGCTTTGACAAGAAAGCAACATCAAAGTTGTCATCCTTCATTACAAAAGAAAAAATATATGGTCATTTAAGAGAATAAACCATTATCAATTTATTGAGTTTAAAACATGGTTTATAAAATTAAAGCAATTTTGAATTTATTATATTTTTTGCTTTCTGAGAATTTATTTTTCTATATTAAGAAAGATCATTCAATTTGGTTTATCCAAAAAACAACACCAAATGTCATCTTTCATTTAAAAAAAAAAAGACATGACCATTTAAGGGAAAAATTTCACAATACCTTATTTCTCTGAGTTTTAATAATGTGATGATGGGTGCATTCATGATAAATGACACTTCAATCTTTTAACATTTAGAAAAATCATAAACTAATATGATTTTAGAGAAATAAAAACCAACAAAATTTTCATTGAAAATATATTTTTTAATGTGTCTAGAACTATTGGGAGAAAGATAGATAATGTACTTATGTTGGATAGTGGATAGATTGTCTCAATTGACAGACTGCGAAAAAAAAATTTTTTTCTTCATTCTGGGACCTGTAGCTTTATGGTAAAATCTTAATATTATATAAAACCATAAAGCTATACAGTTCTGCGGCTTTAATTAATCATATCTCTAATGCTATCGCATATTTTAGATCAAAACCTTTAATTATCTATCAAAAAATCATATAAGATGAATTTCTAGCACGGATTATACTCCTTATCTAAGTGGCATTTTTTTTTATTCAAAATCAGCACATGCCCATGATCGGCCGTATTTCCGAGAAATCAGCGATTTCGGTTTTTTATTTTTATTTTTTATTTTTTGTCTCTATATTTAAATTATATAGTTTATGCTTTAAATTTTATTAAAAAGCAATTCCATTTCACAAAAGGAATAAATGAAAATAATTAGAAAACATATGGGTCCCTGCAAACTCTATCAGTTTTTCCGAGTGTTTACAAGGCGGGTACATGTACACGAAAGTGTTTGACGCATGTGTCTTCAAAGCATGCAAAATTCAGATTATTATGTAGCACAGGTAGCTGACCTGTCAATCAAATCAGGGGTTTCAAATTCAGGTTTCACACCTTTGAAAATATATTGGTCATAGGGATATTCTCACACCTATCGGAGTTTCAGCCCAAACGATGATATACACATAAATTCAAGAATTCACCGACTGATCATGACACGAGTCATTTCCTGTTTATTATACATTTGTGTATACATGCAGCATACTGTCACGCAAAATTGTACATTTTGTGGTAGCTGATATGAAAATATCAGAAGTGTAAAACAATGGTGAACATTCAATAAAAACAGTTTTTACTGCATAACATGTTGAGCATAAACATATTAAGCATAAGGTTACTTTAGTTCTACGAAATTTTGAGCTAATTATTCAGTTAAAATCAAGTAAAAACTGGCGTTGACATTCGACTGTTTTTTTAGTACCCATTGCAGATTACTGTAATTCATGATATCTCAAGTATAGTGACCCACCCCCTCCCAAAAATATGTATGTAAGTAAGTAAATTGTTTATTATAGTGACATGTGTTATACAGTACAATGAAAAACATGTAAAACATGCAATTAATATCCACACACCCGGCCCATCGGACCTTTATGTCACTTTTAACAAAATATATGAAATATATACACAGATATTAAGCATGGCGTTTTTTATACAACAGAGATTGCCTGTGCATGTATGAAAGGTATAACGTTAAATATTTTGACGTCTGCCTAGGAAAATTTGTTAAAGGCCGAGATTTTTAACCGTACGGTTTTCTCAGGTAAGGGGAGGGACTAAATTTTACATGCGTGAATTGACGGTCGTGCAGACCGTAGGGAAGCGCTAATCACTATACACAAACAGTATACACAGGAAGTCCATGGGTATTACCTGTCCAGCTTGATGGCCTACTTTTCATCATAAAATTAGTAGAATTCGACATCGTAAATAAGAAATATAAATAGTTATTAATGATAATTTTAAAATTTTGTAATTTCATAATCATATCTAATATCAAACAAGCAGAAATCTCGCAGGTCGACTTTTTCTTTTAAAAAAAAATAATCGTACGTCACATGTACAGCAGCAATGACTTGAGTTCGTTGTAAAAAAAATATAATCATTATGAAATACAGGTATAAATTTCAAAAGTAAAATACTCATCCTTGTCTGTCCCTTTCAAAATCTTAAAAAATATTCTTTAATCATAATTATCGTAGATATAGAGCTTCGATCACGGTCAAATTGTAATAGTTACTTGCCGTTTGTACAAAAAGTCGCGTGGTCCTATTTTAAGCAAATGTATATTCTCTATCCTATTGTGAACAATTCTCGATAACAATGGTTTGTAAAGTTAAAATTACATGTAAGTATGTCTGTATTTTAAATAAATTTAGATTATAATTTAAAAACTTAGAAACAAAATATCAAATTATTGTAACAAGGTTACAGCGTTAGTGCAGTGTCTATGGAAAGGCAGCTTCCAACCGTGTAATCGGTGTAAATCTGTGAACCCAAATAGTTGTAACGAAGTGCGCGATTCTGTACCATCTCAATGCAGTGATAGTTTCGAAGACCCCATATTTCACTACAATAGTCCCAAACTGCCGGTGCTATACAATTCAGAAAAAGTTTTTTCGAAAGTTGAAATCCCTATTTCTTTATATGGACGAATTTTGGAAACCATCCCTCCGAAAGCACGTCCACCTGCTTTTGACAAAGTATCGGCATTATTTTAGAAACTAGGCTTTTCATGGAATATAACACCAAGGTATTTGTAATCCGACCTGTATTGTAGAATATTATCGTTGAGTTTAAACTGGAAATCACTGCGGGATCCTCATTTACGGAAATGCACTACTGCTGATTTTTCATATTTATACACGAGCAACTATAAGTCAAATATAACCTCCGATTTTATGCAATATCAAATGTATATATTAGATTATCTATATATGTTTTAAAGTTGGGGGAAGATGAAGCATATATTATATACATTACATACCTCTGGGCTCTTTTGTAATATTAGTAAGGATCATTGTGACAGTGAGGAACTTTTTTATTGAAAATACATGATTTAGTCTATCTTCCATGATTTTGCCCCTCGCATTACATGTTTCATATGTGTTTTTCTTTCTTTTTTTTCTTTCTCTCCCTTTTCATATTCTGATTATGTACTTCATATTCTTG